AAGATCATGTGACCTCAAATGATCAACTCGTTAACATAAAACCTCTGTAAATATGTGGCCAAATACTAGCTAAGGTAGTCTCTAACTACCAATAACTATTGTGAATAAGTAAGAGCTTTGAGATGAATACATAAGCAATTTCTGGAGTCACAGATAATATATAAATAGAGTTACATGTACACTATTTTTCAAAAGTTAAAAAAAAAAGTATCTTTTGCTTACCAATGCTGCATTTATTTGATCAAAAAACACTGTAAAAACAGTAATATTGTGAAATATTATTACAATTTAAAGGAACGGTTTTCAATTTTTTATATATTTTAAAATTTAATTTATTCCAGCAATGGCAAAGCTGAATTTTCAGCAGCCATTACTCCAGTCTTTAGTGTCACAGAATCCTTCAGAAATTATTCTAAAATGATTTGGTGCTCAAGATTATCAAAATTATCAAAGTTGAAAATAGCTGTGCTGCTTAATATTTTTTGGAAATAAAATTATAAACATTTTTTATCAGGATTCTTTGATGAATAAAAAGTTCAATAGCCTATAACAGCAATTATTTGAAATAGAAATTTTACATTTGTAAAATTAAAAATTGACAATGTAAAATTCTTTGTTTTCTTATTTGATCAATTTCATACATTCTTGCCGAAGAAAAGTATTGATTTCTTTCAATAAAAATTTTACCGACCCCAAACTTTTGAAAAGTAGTACATATATTGCAACTAGCAAGCTGCATTCAACTACTTTTCAACTACTCCAATAAATGCATATTACACTACATATGAAAACACAGAAATAAGAAACAGTGAAACAAGAGAAGGATAGAAATAAGAGAAATGTTTAAAAAAATCCTCGTCTGGCAGGTTTGCCAGGAAATGTGCAAAGAAAGAAATGTCAATATATAAGAAAGGCAGGCACTGTTTAGCAGGGTCTGTGAAAACAGTATGGCAAGAATCTCTTCCTAAAGCACTACTTTATTGAATGTAAACCTTGATATAGTCACAAGTGCCTGTTAAAATTAGATTTATTAATTTTATTTAGAATTTTTATTTAAAAAAAAAAAAAAAAAACTAACTTCTATACACCTGTGTATTTTTTATTTTCCATTGATTTTCTTACACCCAGTGGGGGATCTATGTTGTTGGTTTAATAAAAGACTTCCAGATAAAACATCAAACCTAGCGTTACCTTAATATGTACAGCAGGTGTTAAACTAACTAGAACTCTAATATAAATGACCCTTGATGTAATCTTGTTTGCATTCACAATAGCTCACCTGGATCTAGATGACTAAATGTCCCGATGACAAAATCCAGAGTGGACATAGCTAAAATGGCCAGTAGAACCAACTGAAGGCGTACAATCCATTTTACCCCGGCCAGGTTAATCCCAAGCAGGCCAATCAGAACGGCCACAGAGATGCCCCTCACTGCCCACATGCTCTGTAAGTTCAGCACCTGTGCAATGGACTCGGCAAAACCAGTGATGTACATCGCTCCAGCCACACACTGCCAACAAGACACATGATTGTCACCAAACTTGAAAACAGTGAACCGACCACCCAATGTGTATGCAACATAATACAGATAGGAGCTACTCACCTGTCCAAACACATACAAGAGTCCCACAGTTCCTCCAATCCTCCCTCCGAGCACAGTGGAGATCATGGAGTAGACCCCACCGTTACCCACTCTGCAACACTCACACACGCCAACGCCCGACATCACCGTAACCAAGGCGACCAATACCACAATTGATACCAGAAGCATGCCCAGCAACACACCCGTGTTACCCTAAAGATGGTCATATGGAAAACACACAACATTTTCATTGGATGCCCATTTAACAGCTGCAAAAACATGAGATAGGCTATGTATGAAAGTCTGTTTCTGCCATGGGATAAAAAAATAAATGAGGTAACTGCGACTTTGTATCTCACACTTGCACTTTTCTCGCAATTCTAAGTTTATCTCTCACAATTCTGACTTTTTTCCTCAGAACGGCGAGATACAAACTCAGAATTGTGAAATGTTCACCGAGAAGTCAGAATTACGAGATGTAAACTCAAAATGTCAGAATTGAGAGATATAAAAGCAGAATTGCGAGAAATAGACTTGGAATTGCAAGAAAAAAAAGTTAGAATTCCGTTTATGTCTCACAATTACGACTTTCTCCTCATAACTGTAAGCTTGTATCTCACAAAAAGTCATTGAGACTTTTTTTTTTATTCCGTGGTGGAAACGGGCTTCCAAAGATATGAACCAAAACCTTGGAATATCTTTTCAAATTCCATTTAAATAGATTCTCTGATACACATATGCGCTACAAGCACCTTGAAATCTATGATAAAACATAACTTACCACAAGCCAGCCAGTCCGTAAAAAGAGCACCACCCCAAAAATGTTGATCATGCAGGTAGTAAAGACTCCATCCCAGGTGCCGAAAAGAACAGGCTCCCAGACGAAAAGCTGCACCTTCCACCAAGGCTGAACATTACTCTGGGAACCCTACACAAACCAGTGTCACTCATATCTAAACAAGTCCCCATTAAAGTCAGGTCCTCCGCTCAGGGTAAAACAGTAGGATCTGAACTTATGGTTTACTATTTATGCTTATGGTAAATCTTACAAATTGGTCATTACCTGTGCGTCTTCATGGAATAACTCTTGAACTTGAGGACTCATGCTCCCTCCTGGGCAAGATTACACTAGCTGGATCTGAGGAAATTAAATTAACATTGCTATAGTCATTTTAAAGGCTTTAGTACTGTATATAGCCTACAAAGGTCATTTTAACAACATTTGCCAAGTAGGCGATGGCCACGTAACTTGGATACATTTAAGCCAACAAAAGCCGTCTTTTAATAAGTGACACATTACTAAAACACATGCAATTAAAATTCCGCAGTTGATCAACATTTTAATACTTTAAGATAAAAGGCAAACAAACGTATTGAAGTACATGTGACTAAGTTGTGTAGTAGCCTACTGACATTGTGTTTGTGTTTTACTTTAACGTTATGTAGTGCAATGGTTCGTTGTACGCCAGTGACTAGCGGCCCTAATCTAAAGGATAAAATGCTGGTTTGGGATATAGTTAAACTGTAAATTCATATATAATAATCATAATATAATTCAATAATCATAAAGACACTTACCTGCAGTCGCTGTGCTCCCGGATGCAGCAGGTGGAGAATGTTAGAGAGGCACGAGCGCACACCTGAATAGTTGGATGGTCCGATTCATTTCCGCGAATCGGTTCTTTTGAACTGTTAAGCATCAAACATTTAAAAAAAAAAACTTTTTAGTACGTTAACTATGAAGTGCTATTTAAGTAACATACTAAATTGACACTAACCATGACACAATGTTTTAGCATAGTATATTAAAAGCGTTTTTAACGTTATGTAGTGCAATGGTTCGTTGCAAACGAACTATTTTAAAATCATATCGTTTGATTAATTCTTACTTTAAGAATTGTATCCTAACAGCTGTCTGTGTGTCGCTGTTATTAATGGAAACGCTACGTGTGCAATAAACGTCAAATATCTGTTCTATCAGCGCCACCTCAGGTGTGCTGCCAGTGTTCATTTCACTGTTCTTCGACTAGTCTAACGGTGCAGGACTTACTGTATTTTTTTTATTTCGTCATTGATATAACTAACTAGTGAACATTTATTATGTAAAGTCACATTAAAATCATTTTAAGATGCTTTTATGCAAAGTTATAGTCATGTTTCAACCATACAACCATATTTTCAACCCCAGTCCACATTTTTGTCAATATGATTATCTCACAAAAATGTTCCCAGGTTATATTTAAACAGATTTAAAATAAAGACAATAAGAAATATTTGCACAAAATGAATCCTTTAGGACAATTAGAATTGAATTAAAGGGGTCATTTGACAATTTTTCCTTTCTCTTTGGAGTGTTACAAGCTCTTGGTGCATAAAGAAGATCTGTAAAGTTGCAAAGACTAAAGTCTCAAATCCAGAGATATTCTTTATAAAAGTTAAGAGTCAACCACGCCTACCTAAAACG